AGATCGTGCGTGTCGAGTGCGCGAAATGCAAGCGAGAGTGCGATTTGGATTTGTCCGGCGCAGCCCTCTGCGGAGATCGTGCGTGTCGAGTGGGCGAAATGCAGGCGAGCGTGCGACTTGGATTTGTCCGGCGCAACCCTCGCGGAGATCGTGCGCGTCGAGTGCGCGAAATGCAGGCGAGAGTGCGATTTGTCCCGGTCGCGGGCAACCCTCTGCGGAGATCGTGCGTGTCGAGTGCGCGAAATGCAGGCGAGAGTGCGATTTTATCGCGGGCAACCCTCTGCGGAGATCGTGCGTGTCGAGTGCGCGAAGTGCAGGCGAGAGTGCGATTTTATCGCGGGCAACCCTCTGCGGAGATCGTGCGTGTCGAGTGCGCGAAATGCAGGTGAGCGTGCGATTTGTGTCTATCCGGCGATGAGAAGTGGTGTACAACCTTAGTACGCGGAGCAATCTGTGGAGCTGGAAGCTGAGAACTGGCGATTTTCTAGTGTACTACAACTTTAGTACGCGGAGTATCCGGGGAGCTGGAAGATGAGAACTGGCGACTTTCTAGTACAACTTTAGTACGCGGAGCAATCTGTGGAGCTGGAAGCTGAGAACTGGCGACTTTGTAGTGCAACTTTAGTACGCGGATGAGTCATCTCTCGCGGCTGAGTCATCTCTCGCAGCTGCTCTGGCGCCCCTGCAGCTGAGTCATGTCTCCCGACCACTCTTGAGAGGTTGACAAATTTTAGCTACTTTGCTTACTCATAAGTGGCTGCCACAAAAGAATCATCGCGACGTTAGTATGTGTGTACTTCACCTTCATGACAAACGATGTTCGCTTGGAAAACACGAGTCGCTTGTCATGATCGTGACGTCGTTTACTCTCAGGTCGCCCTGTTTGTGGAAACTTCAGAGTGAAATGTACGTTCTTCAGTTCTATTTGAACCTCTTCAGCGTTGTACTTGCGCAACTAAGGTTGACGTTGCACTGCCGTTGCATCGACGCATCTACGTCCACACCCCCTCACCTCTCTACATTTACATCTTCACACGCTCACATCCGCAGATCTACCTCTCCACCTCACCACACCCACACATCTGCACATCTATATCACATCTGTACATCCACACTGTCGCTCCTTCACGTCTGTCCTGTCTTTCTTTCTTTCTACATATCTTTTCTCTCGCCTCTGTGCCTTTACATCTTCGCACGCTCACATCCACAGATCTACCTCTCCACCTCCATACATCTACAGATCTATCGCACCTGCACATCACACTGTCACTCCTTCACATCCAGCCTCTCTTTCTCTCTTTCTATACATCTTTTCGACAGTGCTGGACAATTACATGTCTCGCTCTCGGGCCAACCGTCGTCTAGTGTAATGATTTCTATTCATGTTTCAATCGTGAAAGTTGGAGCCTAGCGGAATGAACTACAAGTCACACCCCTTTGGGGTGCCCAATGTTCTCGCGTGTCCGGCCTGTCAGAAGGTGGATGTTTTTGAGGATGAACTTTTCATTCCTAAAAGACCCTCCGCAACGGGAAGCACTTAAATCATCCATGAGAAGCAATGCTGCCTGAATCTTTTCTGCGGGCGAGCCCAGCCCAGGAGCTGTGATGAACCCAGGTTTGGTGATGCCATACATGAACCAGAGGGTGAGGAGCTCAGATGCAGACATGCTCGACTCTTGAGGTCTTGGGATATGGGTTTGTTTGTTTTTTGAAGTGTCCAGTTTATGTAGGACCGGGATGTTCGACTTAGGTGAAACATATCCCCGAAGCATCAGTCTGAAAACGCTACTACTTTAGTCTTCACATTGTGCGAAGCATACCCCGAAGCATACCCCCAGTCAAACATCCTGGCCCAGGAACGTCAAAAAATACAAACCATTACAAACCCATATGTCGGGATGTGCAGCCTTGCCCGTGCTGGCCATTTTGGATGCTGACTGTTGATTCATGGGGGCCCTCATAAGGAGATTCTGAGATGCTGGAACATCCAGATAAAGGACACGGTCATGAGTCAAAACCCAAAGCATGATTGCCTTTGATCGTCTCAGAGTCGCAACTCACTTCTTCCTTGTTGTGCGCGGTTTTTTTTTTTTCACTGGACGACCGGTGGACGATTACTACCGGCGGCGATCACCAGACGAAGGACCGTAAGCATGTACGGCTGCCACACTCCATGGCTGGCTGCCTCACTCGGGCAATTCACTAAAAATGCCGAAGCCCTGTCGCTCCACAAGTACCTTGCTGTTGCATATATTCCCTAGGGATCCAAGTACCTCTTTAAAAGGTACTTGGACCCTCCAAACCCACCCCAAACACCTTCTCAGAGGGTACTTGGATCCATAGGGAATATATACAACAATAAACAATAGACACCTTTCTTGAAATTCGGTCCCAGGCGATGGGAAGTCAGATGCGGCAAGGTGGGCAGGGTTGATGGGCAGAGCGTTCTTGATTTGAAGCGGAGAGTGGAGAGCCAGAAGTCACCATCATTCTATTCGCAAATTACCGGAAGAAAACCAATCCGAAAGAAACCACCACCACCACCACCACCTTCTTCCTGAGGTCTTTTGAATGGTTCATCCACTCTCAAGCTACTGTACATCTATCAGAATCATCAATATATCTACTTCCCTCGAAGCTATATGGCCTTTGGAATCCTAAACTCTTCGGGCGTTGAAACACCCGCTTCGACCACTCCCACCAGCCGTCGATGGCGGCTGCTACAGGCATGCTTTCACCTCCAAGCTCTGTGGGGTCCAGCTACAGGGTCACTCCCGGCGGAGGCTCTTCGCTTTGTTGAATCACCAGGGGAGTGACAGGGAGATGGAAGAGGAGACTATAAATATCTTTCAATATCATATATCTAAAGAGCAGCGGCCGGAAGCTAAAGACCCAACGGAATGCGATCGACGGATTCCTAAACTGATTGAAAGAAAGACTCACTTCAGTTTTGGAAAAGAACCACTTAGAGCTGGAAGCTGATATCTATAAATAGCTTAAATAGAGTCTTACATAGATATATGGTTGTCGATCTAAAGGTCCTAGTCAGCAGTGTGTATGACGATGACCCGGAACATATCAAAATCTCATTTGGCGAAAGTTTTTTCTCGAGTTGGCGAAAGTAAATTTTTTTTTGGCGAAAGATCTGGCGAAAGATTAAATATGTACTTTTGTATGAATGTTCATTTGCTTTCTGAACAGCTGGTGGCAGTGACTCAGAAGCTAGATAAGCTGTGGAAGTTAGATAACCTGCTGCTGCTGCGGCTGCTACTACTACTACGACTACGACTACGACTACCACTACCACTACCACCACCACGACCACGACCACGACCACTACCACGACCGCTACCGCTACCGCTACCCCTACCCCTACTACTACTACTACTACTACTACTACTACTACTACTACTACTACTACTACTATTCCTGCTCCTGCTTTGGGGGGTGGCTTTGCCACAAAACTCTACCCCGCAAAAGGCGAAAGTTTGGCGAAAGTTCAGCTCAAGATTGGCGAAAGTTCACCCTGCCACATCTGACCCCCAGCCCATTATGAGTAAGTTTGAGTGACCGGCTACTACAGTGATTCTTGCAATTTTGATTCTTGCTGACACCCAGGAGAAACAAAAGAGACGTACTGGGTGTCAACAGTTAAGTAGAAGACACATGCTGACAAACAGTGAAGCTTCTATTTTGTGTTTGCCAGTGAAGCCATTGACGTGAACAAAACACAACATACATGGCACACATAAATACAACGTACTTCGGCGAAAGATAAAACGCAGGAAGGCGAAAGTTTGGCGAAAGTAAATTTTTTTTTGGCGAAAATGACGGATCCCGGATAAAGGAATTTAGATCAACTCCCATATATATATATATATTATATTACTTATGATAGATAATTATTAGAGAGTTGTGTGATTACTTTAAAGGGGTCGCAGGTCGGATTGGAGTTGACATTGGAGTTGACATGAGCGGCTCAGGATCGGAACCGTTTAAAACCTCAAAGGTTTCGTTGTCACAGTAACTTGGTCACTGGCCTTGGATTGGACAGGCCCAACGCCATGGAACGCTCAAAGATGGACCTCCCAAGCACGGGCTGATTCGATTTCGGCCAACATACTACCTGAAAGCCTGAAAACTGCCTGGGGTTCTCTCCGACTAGACGATGAAGCAATGTCCCATATCATAAGGCAGTCATTTGTTTGGAAATGGCTTGCACAAAGTATGTCAAGCAGTTCTGAGCTGGTCTGGAACTTTAAGGAGGATCTTGAGATATCTTGAGGTTTGCCCCTAGCCGGGTTCGGAGATTTTCAAACTGATGCAGCAGCTGCAGGTGCCTCCCCTGCCGCTGCCGCTGCGGCATACAATCGGATGCTGGCTTCGGGAGGTGGTGGGGGGGGGCAACCGCTTCGTGCTGCTATGTTGGGCGGGTTCATAGTTGGGTGATATAGAGTGTGTAATATGGTGTATGTTGGGCAACATGTTATTCGGGAGGTGATGTTGGGCTCCCTATGTTCATAGTTGGGTGTGTATTTTCATGCGGAGACACCCAGCCAATTGGTGTTTGGCCTCTGTAGTTTCTCCCACTATCGTCTCTGTGCAGTGGTTGCCCTCAGACCGTGCATACATGAAAATCTACAAAAAGCAATAGGACAAAGTGTCAACTCTGTACCATACAACTGACAAAGATGGTACACTTGTAGGACTTCTCACTTTGTCCCTGTACCATCTTTGGGTCGCCACGGAGTCTTCAAGTTCAACGTTTCAATGTCGACTCCTTCGTGAAAATCGTGCTGCAAACTCGTCGACCCAGCCATGGCTGGGTTTTGGACGAGTGTCCTTCTTGGGTCGGAACGCCTGGGAGGTCTCCCTATTTTGATGCACACCCAGGCAATGATGTTGAATATTGTTTAATGATTCTTTGGGAGTCCAAAGTTCTCGATTGTTGTTTTTCCTGCTAGCTTAATTCTACACGACCATACACGCATTACATACATTGGTTGCAGAGTAGATGGCACAACCCCCACAATGTCTTTTGGATGGGGGTCCATATAAACCACCGACCCTGGGGATTGTGCCATCGACACGGGCAACACACGGAGCTTCGACATGTGCGCGTTAGAGGTTCGAGATGGTTCGAGGATGGAAGGAAGACTCATCAGAGCAGTATACTCCCCCTGAAAAGGTGCCATGAATGCGTTGGAAAGGAACAGAGCCAAGAGCTGTGTCATGAATGTGTTGGCAAGAAGACCTCATCAGAATCGGATCCATCGTTCAGGCCGGTTTCGTGTCTTGTAGGCTTTGGTACCATCAGCCCAATTTCTGGCGGTTTGCAGCGAGAGACCCCAGATCCGCAAGCAGTGCCGCGTGGGGCCCTTTGGCGGTTTGGATGTGTCTACCGATGATGGTGGACCAGGGAAGGAATCCAACAAGAAATCATAAGAAAACTATAGTGAAAACTATCTATCGATATATAGTTATGTGTAGTTTTCTTGAGATACCAATAGGGCGCTCCCACATCCTAAGTGTCAAACTGCTTGAGGAAATCTAAGCAGTGAAATCAGTCAGTTTGAACAGGTATGGCCCGGTATGGCCAGATCAAACATATAGGTCGACCACATAGACTTCGAACATCGACCATTAATTTTGGCACAATGTGGGGTCGTCAGAGCCTGACGCATGGCCGGACGCACCCGCAATTCACAAGAACGCGTCGCAGGTCGCACACGGCTCAGACCTTTCTTTCCCGCGTGGGACACTGTCCATCCGGTGTGGGATTGGTTGTCAGACGCGGAGAACTTCCCGTGTCCTGGTGTCCTGGATCATGGGAGCCAACGAAGTGCTGTGAAGAGCCGGTGCACGAAGCAAACGGCATCTTCACCGGTGCCCGGACCGAGGCCAACTACTGGCTTGCTAGCTCCTCAATCCGACAAAGGAATGGCAGTCCCACCAGGTCAATTTTTCGGGAGGCAGGGGCAGGGGAGAGCTACTGGGAGGGCTTTGGGATCTTGCCAAACTTTGGGAGACTTGCAGTGTACCAGAAACGGCCAGGGTGCAGGGATGACAATACATAGAATTCGGTTGACATTGGACCTTTGCTTTCCCCCGAAATGCAGGAGTTTCTTTTCTCAGCATGTTGGTTTCTGGTTGATGAAACCTTGCAGCTAGGGCAGAACTATATAACTAACCAGTCGGCAAAAGAGGAGACCAGGGTAGCAAGCAGCCTTTGCCTTGACTTCAAAGGTGCGTTAGTAAATCTGTATACATGATCTCAATTTTCCATCCCTGTCTATACCTTCCTTTACGGACAAAGATGCCAGGCATGCGAAGACTATACCCCAAGCGAAAGTGAGCTCCAGTGTTTTATTTGTGCCAGAAGGAGGTTGCATTTCACATGTGTGGAGACGGTCAACTCCCACCTCCCAGCTGCCGGACCCCAGGAAGCCTGAGCCGGTGAGCACCCCAAACCTGGGCGCATCCGCCTGGCCAAGTCCACAGGAGCGGGTGGGATCTTGGCTCATCCAGGGTTCGTTCTCCGGTGTGTTATAGAAAGTAGAAGGTTCATGAAAAGGGTAGGACTACAACCAATACAAGGAGGCCATAAGAGACCAAATATACAGGAATGATTAGAGAAAACCAGGCACCTGCGCTACTAGTAACAAGGGCATCGCTACTAGTAGTAGCAAGGCAAGAAGCTACTAGTAGTAATGGACTTGTTACCAGTAGCGATGCACTTGTTGCTGGTAGTCACCTGTGATCTCACCACCTTCGATGCCACACAGCACCTGCAGTGCGCGTTCATTTGCATGTCGCTGTGCCAGGACTTGGCGGCCTTGGGGTTGGCGGCTGACCCCAACTTGTGCGAACCGAGCGAACTGGACAGGTGTGTTTTTTTTCTCATTGTTTGGCGAGTTGATTGTCTCATTTGGTTGGTGGGTTGATTGTCTCACACGCGCATCTTGCGGCAAGCATTCATTTCTTGAGTTGTTCGATATGAATGCACAACAGCCAGGTACTTGATGGCCAATCAAGCTGGGATGTGTCGAAACGTCCGGTCCCCGATGTCGTCTTCCCAGACTTGGAGTCTGGCAGAACGCGGGTTCACGCGTTCACGCGGACTTGCCGTCCTTCATTGACAGATGACAGGAGAGATTTGGGCCATGGGTATGAAATGGGTATGAATCACATGAATCCAAAGACGGGGGGATTCGCAGGTCAAACAAGTTGGACTCTTTCGCCGGATCCAAAAGGGTGAAACGAGGACCGTCACCGCAGGTCGCGCCGTTGATCGCTTTTTCTCGCTGGATCGTGTGTGAGACACGCCAGTTTGCTGTGACGGTTCTCTGAATGCATTGAATATAGTATCTTGATATATGTATATAATTGTATATACACAGTATTATACATAATTTGTCATGAATGTGTGAGAAATAGAAATGTGCCAGCAAGTTGAACCGAGTAATTCTTCGAAATAAGAAGACTACACTCTGCTAGGATCACCAAGCACCCACACCGGTAGCTGAGTTTCATGGTTAGTCTTTCACAAGTAGCTGACAGCTGAGTCCAACACACTTCCATGATCGGTTGATGACCCCAAGAACAGATGAAATGATGTGTCAAAACCTGAGATTGGGAAGTGACTCACACCTCCAGTGTGACATGGGGGTGTTCCAGGCTTTGTTTGAACAGATTGCATCAATTCCTGAATGAGTTTGGGATAGTGAAGAACAACTCTGCAAAGATATGCGAAGGTCACCCTACAGTTCTTTTTAGCTCGAACTGAGGCCCCCTTTGTAACTGGGGACGACGACCTCTTTGGTGGTGATGAGCTTGATGGCTCCGCGGTGGCATGCAGCGGCTTGCGGACGGTTTGGCGGGAGCACATGCAAGAACCTGCCATCATCATTTCTAGCATCTAGATGTCAATGCCCAATGTTTCATTCATGATCCGGATTTGCAACCTATAGGTGTTAAATCATACGGCATGTTCACCTAATGTCGACGTCGGATTAATCAACGGGCCCCCCCCCCCCCCCTAGAAGGTCAACAAGGTCAACAAGGTCTGAGATTGGAGGTTTTGGAGATCACATCCCCCTAATAGTGGGGATGACCTGATGATGACAGGAGGAGGAGATGAGATGGGATGGAATGATGAGATCCATGAGAGCCCAAATACTAATTCCCTT